TGTGTTCCTCTAATGCTCTCTGAAGGCCTATTCGGAGTCCATTCTGGAAGACAACAATATATCACAAAGTTCTACAAAGTTCCTCCTAATGAACACATGCCAATTTGAGAGCAAGAATTCTGGCCTCAAAAGACAATATAACCACTGCTCTTAGTCTCTGGGTACTTCGCTACTTTATTTCAGAGCGATTCAAAATCTAATTAAATTTCTAAACTCTAATGAAATTACAGTAGAAAAATCATTTAGGACTATATTATGCACAATTACTCATGGCTGAAAATTACTGCTGGCCTCTTTCACCAAGAGAAGGTCCCCAGAGAGAGGCTGGCTGTTCTGACCACAAATAAATCCAGTGCCATTCGCTCGAATTTACAGAGTGAAGGTAAAACTAGAATTAATTGCAAATATATATCCTGCTGCTGGCTGGGGAGTTGGGCTGCACAAAGGTTCAGGGAGCAGAGCAACCCCAGAATCTTTCCACAGGCGGAAGGGATCCTTTGCTTTTGGCCTGGGTTTCCTTACCACACAAAGAGCATAATTGGGAGAGAGAGAGAAGGCAAAAGCAGATGGAAAGGCATCTTCCAGCCAGGGCAAAGCTTCCGTTAATATCGAGACCAGTTTTAGGACTAAGCCTCATAACTCCAAGTTGTTCCACAAAATTGTATTGTAAGAGGAAAATGAGCGAAGAGACAGAGACCTGCATCTAAATACACAACTCGGATCTCATGTTTTGGTTTATGAACTCTCTCCTTGTGGCCAAGATTGGATGCCTCTATTTATTTGTCTAATGTTATCCATGTACGTGGCGTGGAGAGCTGCCGGGTTCACACTGAGGTGATCACCCCATAGAGGTGCATCCATAGTGACCGGCTGTGCTCTGGGCAATGTTTGACCAACTGGGACCAGTCCTGAACAGGGAAGACTTAGTGACAACAGCGATCTATGCATTGGTGTAAGCTCTTTCCTCAGCTTAATTGCCATTTATTGGGGTGGGTGTGGGTCAGGAATGAGGTAGGCAGAAAAGGGTGTAGTGTCCCAGCTACAGTCACTCGCAGCAGAAAAAACATGATCTCCCATTGGCACAGTGGGCATCCCTCTCTGCCAAGTCTTCACACCTGAAGCCTTTGCCTGCCCCATCTGGGTAGATGAGACCAGGAAACCCAATACCCAATAAAATACTTTTCTCTGCATAGTATTATTTAAAATTCCCTGATTTTTTTTTTTCATAATTTCAACAGCTACTACAGGAAGTACAAGGAAAGCGTCTTGGTCACTGCCACTGTACCCGGGTGCCCACACGTATGCCTGGGCTCTAATCGAACCAGGGCTTAATAGGCTTTGTGTCAGGAAATGGGGGGCACCTTCCACTTAGGTCACGGGTCAAGTTCCATTTGGGGGAGTCCCGCCTACATTTGGATCTGGTGGGCTTGCTGGAGGTGAAAGATGCAAATTGCTTTTCACACCTTAAACGGGATGCCCAGGAGGCAGGAAGTATCCTCTGGGGGCTCTTGCTCTAGGGACTGCAATCCTAGAGTCACAGAGTCGGCATTTTAGTCAATGATGTTTGTTTATAAATAACCATAACTCAGGTTACACAAGGCAGCCTTTTGTCCAACAATGAGCCAATCAATTAGTCAAAAACATGATGTGGGGCTCTTACCCAAAGGGCCTTCAAACTAATCCAATAGGAAACCTTGGGAATGCCACAAAACAGAAGCAGGGTTAGAAATGAAAGAATGTTGTGATATAGTTGAAAAAAACCCAAGAGCCAGCGGAGATCATTGGGTGGTGGGTTCCCCTCCCCTTCTAGTCTACTGCTTGTCAGCTGGGATCCGTGTGGTTACAGCTGTCTAGATTTAGATCAGGTTTCCTCTGTCCAAGGACAGTCCCCAGAAGACAGTTGGGGTGCTGGCTCTGCAGACTGTAACCCGAGAGCTTCCCTGGCCAGTGAGAAGAGCAACCGCCTCTCCTTGGCCGGGAAAGTTCCCCACCCCCCACCCCCTCTGTCTCTCAGAATGAAGATGGTGGGAACTGGATTGTCTTTTGACTCACTTCAAGTCTTCCAAACTCTCAGCAGTGTGGTAAATTCCGAGTAACTGTCCTTGGATCAGGCGTCTCCGTGTATTGTTCTGACATGCAGGACTGGGAACACCAAGGGGCATTTTCCCCTGAGTCTCATGGGAAAGATTTTAAATGCCTTTCCTTTCAGGAGCCATGCAATACACGAGGAGGAAAGGTGTTGTTTTGGAAATATGACACATCTGTTGCTAAAGGGGAAGGGAAGCAAACATGAGCTTAGACCATCCAATATTTTAATTATTCTATTCCTTGTGCCCCTTTTTTTGCACTGATACACACTTTAAGGTCTGGGAAGTGGCCTAGAAGTCTTGGGGAGCAGGGTTGTCATTCCTGGGGGGTGGGCAGGACTGAGGCAACTGGGAAGAGTCGCTCTCCGTGCCTGTTTGCCCTTCCAAGAGCTGTACCAACCCTCCTTCTGCTTTGCCTCTTCCCTCTGCCTGGTTTCCACCTCTCCAGCCAGATGGTTTGCTCATCTCTCTTCTCACAGGCTCTTCCCTTGCCGGTTCAAAAATGGCACAAGTTCCCCAACCCATCAAGTCATTGGTGCTGCACCTTCCCTTTTTGGAAGGTTAGAAATTACTTGAGGCATATCCATAAAACCTTTGAAACCCCCAAGTGCCAAACGGCTCCTAATTGGGGTCATGGATAGCGTGATACGGAGGTTGCGATGAGAGACAATAGTAACTGCCATTTTGAAGAATCCAAACTTAGAGTTTGTCCATATAATAAAAATGTCTTTTGAAGCCCCCTTAGGGTGAAGCGGTTCATAATGGCATCATTGGAGGCAGATGTGAGTGGGCATTGGAGGCTGTCTATTTAGAAGTCAATCTGGATCTACATCATTGACAATTTTTTTAAAATAAATGTGGGCAGCTTTGTGGGACAAATGTGTAAATAAAGGTCTAGGAGTAAATCAGAAGGTGCCGCCTTGTTGGGATCTGGGCCGATCAGCAGGAGGAGGAGGAGGAGGAGGCGCTGACAGGTGCAGAGGCAAAGGCTGGGACCCGCCCACCCGCTCTGCAGCTGGCCATGACGCTTCCTTCAAATAGCTGAAGCTGCCACGCCCACCCAGAATCCGGAGGCCCACCTGATCCGCCCAAGGCCAAGCGGAGGGTGGCAGGAGGGTGACTGTGCCAACGGGGGCAGCTGCTGCTGCTGCTGCTGCTCCTTCTGGCCTCCCAAAGCTGAAGGGCAGTGTTTCCTCAACAGGTGCAGCCTGGGCGGGACCCTCTGAGGGAAGATGGCCCGAAAGGCCTATTTGAGCCTCTTCTTTCTTCTACAGGGCCACCTCTGGGGCCATCCTTCTTGGGGGGCAAAGATGCCGCTGGGCTGAGCAGCCTCGCCTCTGCCACTGGGGCTGCTCCACAGGGGTGGACTTCTCAGGGCAGATTTTCTAGACTGGGGGGGGGCGGGGACGGCCTCTGAATGCTCACCTGGGTCTGTTGTGGAGCAAAGATCTCTGTCCTCAGACTTGAGTGTCCCGTTGTGGGTACCCAGAAACTCAACAAAACAGGCAGCAGGGCGGCTGGAAGCTGAGCAAGTCATCCACATGAGAAGAGCAAAGCCCCAGGAATGGCCTGCACTTAATTTCTTTTAAATCAAGTTGGTTATGTTATTCTGTTTGCAATTCTACTCCAAGGGCTAAAATAAAGTTTTATAAAGGCCCTCTAATCCTGCGTTTCCAATAGTCAAATCTCTGTTGAGTTCTTCTTCATAGCTCTAGGTTTAATTAGTTTTCATTGCAATATTAATGACTTGCATAACCCATTGTAACATTCCTGTTGCACAGCTGGAATTCTCTTATTTAGCATTCTCTTCCTACAAGGGAATAAGGAAGGAAGAACTTGCTTTTCCCTACATTGTTTCACAAATATGCATTAAAATCATTTTTTTAGCATTCTAGCATAGCTTCTGTGACAGAACTCTTGCAAAACACAGAAAAGTTTTAAAACATTCATGCCATCTTTTCCAAAATAATAGTACATATGGTTCTTTATTAATTAAACAGTGCTCATATAGGAAGCTAATATTTGCAGCATATGGACAGCTGACTGGCAGGAATAAAAATAAAGCTGTCCTTTAGAAAAACGCATAACTGGCTAGCAGTAAAAATGCTATTGGCTTTCAATCTTTAAGGGAAATCTGGAATCTTTTAAAATAACTGTTTTGGATCGCCACTAAACCTTAAAATACCTCATGTTGTAATATATTGAATCTCGTGGTTTACTCCTGTCATTCTAGTTTCAAAACTCTCTAGGAAAACTTTCTGATGATGAATGTAGACAGCTAATATTTTTACTTTTCATAGATTTGCTCTTGATGGGGGAAGTGGAACAACGTGACTTACTCTTGAATAAACCTGGATAAGATTGCAGCCTCAAAAACATCAGTTTTGAGCCTTGGTAGTGCAGCGGACTAAAGTGCTGTTAAAGTAGCACTTAGCTGCCAGCTGCCTGCAATTACTGCGAGTTCAAATCCTACCAGGCTCAAGGTTAACTCAGCCTTCCATCCTTCCGAGGTAGGTAAAATGAGGACCCGGATTGTGGGGGCAATAAGCTGACTTTGTATATAAAAAAGAACACCGCTTAGGGGGCCCCTGAAAGCCCTACTAAGCAGGTATATACAAAAAGTATGAAGGCTATTGCTTAATGCATTGTAAGCCGCCCTGAGTCTCCGGAGAAGGGCGGCATATAAATGGAACCAATAAATAAATGAATAAATAAATAAGTTTTACAAACTGCATGGGAGCAAAAGTCACACAGATGTCTATTCCAAAGTCCAGAAAAGTTTCATCCGGGGGACTTTCATTATTTGGAGAGGCACAAAATCTGCATACTTTACTGAGGTTTCCATCATAGTACTGAAGCTCACATACCCCGAGCTAAACAGAGAAAAAAATCCCAGGCATCGAACCTGTAGGGTAAAGATTGCAGGACTCACTGAAGTCCAAGTAATTTTATTTTAAAAAGTGTAAGAAGCTGGGTGGCCAGTGACGGGTTTTGCTCGGGCCTCCCCTGGACCAGACTGGGCTACCCCACCCTCCGTCATGGGTGACCACGGAGGGAAAGACTCAGATCGCTGGCTCTGTTCACATGACCGCAGGAACCCTCGAGGAGGCTTAGAGAAGGGAGTTCCTGGGATCAAGCCGATGGATGGAGGCTGATGAATTCTTGGCTGCTTGAACAAGTCCTGCTCCCCTTTGCCCAGGCATTGGAATAATTTTTTAATCTGGAGTTGAAGTTAAAAACAGAGGCAATTAAGTGAAGCAAACTTATCCTGTTATCCCTGCTAGGGATCTCCTGAAGTCAAATGGTTTCCCTCCTGTGGGTTAGCTGGAGACAGGCACCATAAAGCAAGGGGGCCCTGCTGACCGGAGGGGTGGGGGAGCCTCCGGAGATGGCTGCCAAGTTCCCCAAGGAGCAGGAGCAGGTGCCAAGGAGCAGGAGAGCCCAACGAATCCGGCTGCTGGAACAGACCGACTGCTCAACGGTTCGTGAGAACTGAGGCTTTGCAGATGCTTCCTCTACCAGCCTAAGGTTTAGAAGAAAAGTTGAAACTGCTGATGGTCCCAGAAACAAATTATTTCTGAGGACTTTTCCTTTTCCAAAATAAAAAGAGAGATTATTTTACAAAAATGGTTATTATTCCTTATTAACAAAGTCTCTCTCCAGCTCAGCTTAACTCACCGTGGCTTGGAGACGGCCAAGTAGCTTTAAATAATGCACATTAGGAAAAAGATATGTGGAATGCTGGGAGAATTCGGGGCACACAAAAGGAAGTATTATTTATATACAATGTGCAATTATAGGATCCAAAGATCTCAGTGTCCTTGTGGACCACAAGTTAAACATGAGCTAAAGTGTGATGGAGCTGGTTTTATTTTAAACAAAATATTGGGGTCCAGTGTCCAGATCCCTGGAAATGATAGCTGCTTTCTGCTTCTCTCTACCCAACATACCTTTTCTGACGTGCAAATGGGAGCCAAAAGACCCCATTCATTTAATAAAGAAATCTTACAGGACAGAGCCTCCCCTTGGGGGATCTAAAAGTAATGCTTAAAAGGGTAATGGCAAAAAAAGTAAAAAACCAAAACAATGCTAAAATTCTAAAAGTAATGCTTTTAAAGGAACAAATCTGGCTTGAATGGTCCCTGCCAGACTTACAATTCTACACTCCAGAGTAGGATGGCCGGAGGAGGAAATGGCCCGTAGTTTGTCTCTGCCATTAGAGTGGACATTCTTGCAAAGTTGTCGGTCATGGCTGCCTGCCTCTGACCAGAACACAGATGGGGACGTCCATCATGGCAACAATCTGCGCAGTGGTTGCTTGTCAAGTGGACCCTGGGGAAATAGCCAACGTGTTTGGCTCCAATTATAGCCTCCGCCTCCCTGGCTGCAGTTTCAGGCTGGAGGAAAAAGGCTACAGTCATCTCTGGAGCCTGCCTGGCTGTTGCATCTCTCTGCGGGTGGCTTTCAATGGGATTTTCCATGGAGAAAGAAGCTTAGAATAAAAGTGTCATTTACCTAATTTAAAATATTTTTATCAGGAGAAGGGTGGTATAGAAATAAAATAATAATAATAATAATAATAATAATAATAATAATAATAATAATAATCACATGGTGTAAGATGGTTTCCAAAGTGAAGTTTTTTATTTCTTTTGTAATTTTAAATCCCCTGTGTGTTATTTCTATTGTGTAGTACACGTACATACCACATTGGAACACACAATCTTTTGTGTTAAAAGGCGATACCTATATTTTCTAGAAAAGCGTCTTCAATGTTCAGCAAGAGAGCCGTTTTGGAATAGTGGTTAAGGCGTCAGGCCAGAAAACGCAACACGGGGAGTTCTAGTCCCACTTTAGGCATCAAAGCCAGCTGGGTGAGCTTGGGCCAGTCACCCTCTCTCAGTCCTAGGAAGCAGGCAATGGCAAACCCATTCTGGAAAACCTTGCCAAGAAAGCTGCAGGGACGCTGGCTCAAAGGCACCTAGGGACATACACACATTTCTTCAATGTTTGCCCATTATGAGAGATTAATTTCTACTGAGAAAAATTACAAGACAAGAGTTTTGACTTTGGATGGTAAGAAATAATGCAAGATTTACTGAGATCTAATGGATGTCATTTTCTTAAACCATCGATAACACGGTTTGGCTCTGGTTTCAGTTTGGCTTTGATTTTTGTCACAATGATGTAAAGGGCCACATTTTGATCTGGGTTTCTGCTCTCCTTTAGGCCAACCTGCACCTGTGAATTGTGATGCATTGTGTCCCCTTTAAAGAATTTATACGGGGGGCGGAGGGAGACGACCACATCTGTATGATTACACATTTCAAAATGCTAGAGTTATTTATTTATTGGTTTGATTTATATGCCGCCCTTCTCCGGAGACTCAGGGCGGCTTACAATGCGTTAAGCAATAGCCTTCATACTTTTGTATATACCTGCTTAGTAGGGCTTTGCCCCCCCCCCAAAAGCGGTGTTCTTTTTTTTATACAAAGTCAGCTTATTGCCCCCACAATCCGGGTCCTCATTTTACCTACCTCGGAAGGATGGAAGGCTGAGTCAACTTTGAGCCTGGTGAGATTTGAACTTGCAGTAATTGTGCTACTTAGCAGCACTTTGGTCTGCTGCGCCACCAAGGCTCCTTTATTTAACGCAATATTCAAAGGCAATATCCAAAACTCCTAAAACTGTTCTGCCCCAGCTCCGGATTCCCAAGGATTGTGACACACACCAATGATCCTTATCAAAGTTATAACATACCAAGAATAAACAAAGTCCGGCAAAGGTTGGCAACCAGCCCAGAAAACAAGATATGATAAGACATTCACTCTCCAAAATGCTCTGTAATAATTACATGTTGTTTCCAGCAAGAAATTACTAACTGTGTGCGACTTAAATAGGCTAAGGGAGTGGCCAATTATCCTCAAACCTTACTCTCGAGGAGACCTCCTCCTCCTGAGTATCCACTCCTGCCTTTTGGCAGCCCTACGTGCTCAAGCATTGAGGAGAGGCTCCTCCACTTTGCTCTCTCCACTTGAAGGAGCCTCTGGAGGTTCTGAAGGCCCAGGCTGAGTCTCTCTGCCTCTGGCACCACATCCTCTTCAGCCTCCTCGCTGTCCAATGAGAGCGCCGGCTGTGCAGGGTGCTGGCGCGACCCCACACCAGCCTCCTTGTCGTCGGGATCAGCCACGATCCATGCAGGCCGCTGGTGGGCCACAACAAAAACAGAGAAATATAATGTATTGTGAAAGTCACTCTAATTTTTTTCCATCTGGCTAAAATCCTTGTCTAAATCTTAATCTTTCTCTCCACCTGTCGTACCAACTAGCTGAATAAAAGTCTCAAGGAATTCAATATTTTGCACGCTGTCCACGGTGAAACCAGGGTCTTCCTCTTAAAACAAACCAGGGTTTGTTGTAAGTGTTCCCTAAAGAGAAAGACAAACAACCCGAAAGAATTCCAGAAACAGTCCAGAAGCCGAGCGCCTGCCGGAATTTAGGGGAATATCTCTGTTATCAAATACACAAGGAAAGGTCAGGAGGCAGAGTACAGATATAGCCTTCAGCAATGACCGCTGGAAGAAGCAGAGCCCTGTGGGCAGCCTCCAAGCTCAGACTGAAGCTCAGACTGGCCATTTCCTTTATTCCCCACGAGGCCCGCCTGTCTCCTAGTTGAGCTTTCCCTTTGGGCCTGGACCTCCCTTTGCCTGGTTCCCTCAAGGCCAGCTGCTCTTTCAGGCTCAGGCTCTGCACTGGCCCTTCAGCCGCAGCTGGACCTGAGTCGAAGATGGCCGCTTTCCTGGGGCATCTGAATTAGGGCCGAGAAGGCTCTCTTTTTTTCACTTCAGCCTCCCACCCCTCCCGCTGACGGTCCGCATGAGGCCGTGGGATGAGGTCATGGGCTGACATGGGGTCAGCTATCATCACTGATGGGCTGATGATGCTCAACTGTGTATCCCGACTCTCTGACCAGAACAGAGGTGGTCAGGGATGCCCGGAGGTCGTGGGGTCTGGATGGAACTTTCCAGTTCTGCTTCCGAATGGGGAGAGCAGGGGGGCGCTGTAGCCACAAAGGCCTCGACACAGGTTAATCTGGAGTCCTAATTACATCTAGAGTATTCCTGAACTGGGGGGGGAGGGGAGGGCTGGAATCTCACTCATCACTCATGCCATGGCTATTTCATGTATGGACTACTGCAATGTGCTGCAGGTGTGGCTGCCCTTAAAGACTGTTTTGAAGCCTTCGCTGGCCCAGAAAGTGATGATGGCATTTAAGGACACCTGCTATGGGCTGCTGATGTAATGTCTCAGCTTTGCAAACTGCACAATAAGCTCCTGGGTGAAATTTGTGGCGGATTATCACCTACAGAGCTCTTAATGCCAGAGGGCCGATTATTTGAGGGGCTCCTGTTGTTTCTGCTCTGATCCTACAGTCAGCACGACCTGGATCTCACCCAATGAGCATCCCCTGATGGGACCCAGGAAGCCTGATCTCCATCTGAGTCATAGAAGCAGCCTGGTATTTCAGCCAACCCCGTTTTCCTTTTGTTGAGTCTTGGGGTCCTGGCTCAGTCTCCAGACTCCAGGCAGGCTTGGGACATGGAGTTCCTGGGGGTGGGGCACGGGGGGTTTCCTTTTTGTCTGCTCCACTAAGATGACCGTCTTCCTTTTTTGTCTTCTTGTCTTCTATTTCTCTGGCTTTAAGTTTATTTGTCAACCAGAGACGTCTAGAGGTTAGGTGACTTTTGAAATATAAATTATGATATACACAAACATGCTCTGAGCCAGCGGTGAAATCCACTTACCTTCGCTACTGGTTCGGGAATGGGAGCACACGGGAGCACCACTTCTGCACATGCGCAGAGGGTCAAAAATGGAACATAATGACGTCCTGGCGGGTGGGTGGAGCCTTCCGCCCCTGGTGTTACTAGTTCACGCGAGCCGGAGAGATCCGGCCGGATTTCACCGTGCTCTGAGCCCTGCAGAAAATGATTGCCGGTGTCATTATAGTGGGAGTAATTCTACTTTCTAAACCAAGAGGTATTAGCTTTGGAAGCATCCCCTTCACTGCCCTTGCCCTTTGGTGTTGGGAAGCAGCCGGGCCTTCCTGGGCTTGACCCAGGACCAGGCTCTTCAAGAGGGAAGCCGCTGTCCTGGCTTGCCTTTGGCACCATGGGATATCCCCACCGTTTCACTGACCACGCTTCCTTTCTCAACTCTTGTGAACAAGCTCCCTGCCAAGTCCTCGGTGGCTTCGAAAGGGACATCTGACTGGCCAGCCCAGCGAAGGCATGGGGGCCATGGGAAAAGCACGTCGCTGGTGTATTCCGGTGGCCTTGAGGGTTACTGATAGTTTGCCATTAGGCCTTTAAAAAGATGCTTAGATCAGCATCGCATTCCAGGATTGTCATGTTCACAATACTGTGCGTGTGTTTTTAAAGGACAGTGTAATTGGTTGTGGGTTGCCTGCGGCTGAGGCTGAGAGAAGCCAAGCTCATTTGCTTTGAGAGCCTGGCCTGAGGCCTCCGAAACGTTCAGAGCCAGGAGGGATCTTCTTGCAACCTGTGCAGAGAAGAGATCCAAGCTCTTCTGGTCTCACAAACGGCACAATGGCACCTCGACTGAAGTGCGAGATTACTTAGTCCTCCATTTCTCAATCAACAGCATGATAAGTCTGTTGAGTCTATCAGCTGCCACAGTCTTTATCCTCTCAGGAGCTGAAAAGTACTGTTATTGTGGCTCTCAAAATGGAGATTCTCAGGGATGTCCCAGGCTGCCCCTGATCCTTTGCCACAAATCTGTTCCGGAGTACAGAGGTAGATTACGGGTCCTGCCTCAGCCCTCCCTCTGATGCAGAACGAAGAACTGCCTCTCGGGACCTTCACAGGAGCAGGAGCAGGCCATCACGGATTCATCCGTTCTCTGTCTCGGGAAACTCTGTTTAAGCTCTGGCACTGCATTCTGCTCTGCAAGTCATGCACCTGAGTGATGGCCAAGAGAGTACAAAACTTTCCTTGACAGACAATGGTGATGATGATGATGATGACGATGACAACTATGAGGTCCTTGATTTTGCTGGACCAATACTGATAGGACCAACATTTTTGAGAGCGGTCTCTGGGATACAGCATTGATGTTAACATTCTTCAAGGATCCAAATACTTTTTCATCCCACCTGAGCAAAATTCTAGCTAAGCCACCAAGAGTCATTTTGATTGTGGAGGGATAGAAATGCAGGCAGTAGCAAAATACTGTAAATAATAAAATAAAATGGAGACGATATCAAGCTTTTGTGAGATCAGGATTTTGCTCTACATTAATCCTTTGTTTATCCAGCAGATTCACTTTCTCCATCTGAAACAAATACAAAGGCAAATCGAATCATACAATAGTATCTACTGT